CAGATGCCTTAGGAATCTGGCTTCCAATCTTCCCTCCCTCACTGCCCCAGCGTCTCTGCAGAAGGGTGGGAGGGGAGTGGGTGGGTTCCTTGTCTTCACAGAGGCCTGTTGCCACCTCTCAGGGCCTGCTGAAAGCCCCTCTCAGCCAAGCTCTTCAGGATGGGGTGCTCTGGAGCCAGAAACACTCAGAAGGGGATGTTTGACACTCTCAACACCCAGCTCTTTCTGTCCCAGAAAGTGGAGTGGGGCCTGTTACAAGGCATTTACTTCAGGCAAGTGAGATGGGTCCCTGATCAATGCTAAGTGTGGGTTGATGAGGGGAGGGGTGGAATGGATTTTTGTTATGGTGGTTAGGAGGCCTGACTTTCGTCCAAAATTTTGTTGGAATCCTGAATCTGAATCTTTGATTGTAACCTTGAGTAAATCTGTATACCTCTCTGGGTCTCAGTTTTCCTCATCTGTAAAATGAGGGGGTCAGTATCACCACATGGGCTCTAAGTTCCCTTCCTGCTCAAGATCTATGAGCCTGTGGAATTTCTATGACCTTGATTTTTGTTACAGGTTCCTGGGTTCAAACCTTGACTTTGCCACTTGTTACCACTTTGACCTTGAACAAGTTCTCTATTGTGGAAGATTTCCCCAAAGAAGGCAGGAGGGAGCTGAGTAAGGCCAGAGATGCCTCTGTCAATTGTGGAGGGTAAAGATGGATGGATGGATGGATGGGTAAAATGGTCAAAAATGGTTTGAACAGTAGCAGAGGTGGAAATTCACTCCTAGAGAAGCCCTATCATGGACAATTCAATTTCATTCACATTTATTAAGCTCCTACTATGTGTCAGGAATTGTACTAAGTGCTGGGGATACAAAAGAGAGAGAGACAGACAGAGACAGAGAGACAGAGAGAGATAGCTTTTGAGGCTGAGTTAAAGGATGGCTGGAAAGGACCTCTTTTCACCCCCCCTTTTTTTTCTTCTTCAATTCATTAAACATTTTTTTAAAAAAAATTTTATTTTTAATTTATGGAATAAAACAAGCATTTACATAATATTAAAAAAAGATGATTGCACAATTCCTCTTGAATATGTAATAAAGTTATCATGTAAATTTCTTTTTTTTCTCATTTTTTTTTCTTTTCCCCTTCCCTGCCCTAGAGATGGCTACCATTAGACATAAAAATATATGTGTATATACACACACACATATATACATATACATATACATATATAATTATTCCATACATACTTCTATTTATCAATTCTTTCTCTGGATGCAATAAGTAAACATTTATTAGGTGTCTATTATGTGCCAGGCACTATGCTCAATTCTGAGTATACAAAAAGAGGCAAAAGAGAGTTCCTGCTCTCATGGAACTTACAATCTAATAGAGGAGAAAATATGCAAAAAAATACATAAAAAGTAAACTACAGGCAGCTAAATAGGAAATAATTAACAGAGGGAAATCACTGGAACTAAGAGAGGTTGCAGGAAGCTTACTGTTTTTCTCCCTTCTTTACCAAAGTGGGGTACTGTGGGTGTGGAACACTACATATAATGTTGGACTTGACTGATTTGCTGATATATTTAATTCTTTGTTGTAAGAGATGTCCCTTGGGAGGAGAAAGATGGGGAGAACTATTGGGAAATATAGGTGAGGTAAAACAAAGCTATCAATAAAAAATGAAAGAAAAAATAATGGAGGTATAAGAAGGAGCTGGCTGGCCACCTATCAGAAGGTGGACATATAATTGAGCAGAAGAGAAATTAGCATCAGATATGGTCTCAAGGATGCCTGAAAGGGCAAAGCTATGTTTGGGGTGGGGGGCACTATCAGTATGTTGAAGATTTAACATGGAAGAAGAAGAAAGAGGATGGGAGAGGGAGAGAAGAGGTCTTTGTGTTAGGAGGAGGGGGATGTGTATGTGAAGTTTTCTTTTTACATTACCTTTAATGTTTTCAAAATCTCTTTACAAAAATGATACCACTTGAGTCTCACACTAACTCTCTGGAGTTGAGAGATTAAGGATTCCATTTTACATAGGAATAAAATAAGATCATTTTTTTTTTGAGGCAGTCAGGGTTAAGTGACTTGCCCAGGGTCACATAGCTAGTAAGTGTCTGAGGCCAAATTTGAACTAGGATCCTGCTGACTTCAGGCCCTACACTCTCTCCACTGTACCACCTAGCTGCCAGGAGACCCAGCTTTAATCCAAACCAATCCACCGTGAGCCTTTATGATAATGACAATAGCCAGCAATTACGTAGTGCTTTAATATTTGCAAAGTGTTTTATGAATATTATCACATTCAAAAATTCATAACAACCTTGTGAAAGGTAGGTGCTATTATTATCCCCCTTTTACAGATGAAGTCATTGAGGGCAAGAAAGGTTAGATGATTTCCCCAGCATCCCACAGCTAAGTAAATGTCTGAGGCAGGATTTGAACTCAGGTCTTTCTGACTACAAGTCTGGCATTCCATCTACTTTGGCAGGTAGCTGCCTCATTTTTAATGAAATGGAATCAAATAACCAATCAGTAAGCATTTATGAAGCACCTCTTATGTCCCAGACCCAGTGTTAGGTGCCAGAGGCACAAACACAGAAATGAGGCATCCTTTCCCTCAGAGAACTTACATTCCATTGAGAGAGATGTCATCCACCAAAAAAAAAAGTTATAAGAAATATATATACAGAATATTGTGCTTGCTAGTGCCCTGACCCTTCCCCCTATCAGAGACACTGAGAATAAGGGAAATGGCTACAGGAGATCAATGTGTTTTTTATTGGGCAAAGATACCAAGGGCCCTTTCTGGCTTGGGGGCCCTAGTTCTGAAGCTCCGTAATGACATCTGCCATCTTCCCATGGATGGAGATAATAGCTTAGAGGACTTTGTCCTTGCCTTTGGGGTCTGATGGAGGGAAAGTTACAATCTAAATTACAATTTTAGATTATACCTAGGGACAATCTCAAGTCAGATAATGCTTCCAAAGCACTTCTTAAACCTTCAAAACACTATGTAAATGTCCACTATTATTAGAGGTATTATGGAGTTAGGGTAACCTACTAGGTAGAAAGCTGGAATCAGGAAGACACAACTAACTGTGTGACCCTGGATGAGTCACTTGCCTCTGTGTGACTTAGTTAATTTCCTCAGGCTTATTTATTCAGTTATAGAGCTGTGGGAATGGTGGGAGTGCCCTACCCTGAAGAAGTAATTGACCCTTGGTTTATTACGAATTTCAAGTGCTAGCATCTGCATTGCAGATAGAAATCCATAAACAGGTAAATGCAATATTCTAATTGGATAGGGTTAGTAACCTGTCTGATCTCCACTTTCCATTCAGGGAAGGCCAGGGCTTTGTGTAGGTCAGTTAATTAAGGTCAACGCAGCAGAAGGAGAGAACAGCAGAAGATCTTGCCTTTCAAAGGAAGTCTATCCAAATTATGCTTCAATTAAGGTATTGGTGAAAAAGTTTATATTGTATATATAAATCATCTTATATATGTATGTTACATGCAATATATTACATACAAAATATGCTTCATTACATTATGATACACCAATATACTCTATATCATTCTAATTATGTCACTATATCTATTAATTTGTTATACACATATGTATGTGTATAATATGTGTAGTAGTAGATATAAAATCATACACTTAGAGATAGAATGGACCTTAGAACTCATGTTCTCCAACTTCTTTTTCTTTGAGGCAATGAGGGTCCCATGGTCATAGAGCTAATCAGTGTCTGAGGTCGGATTTGAAAGTTGGTCTATTCACTGCACCACCAAGCTGTCCCTTCCAGCTTCTAAGAGAATGTAATTGTAAGAGAGGTACACTCATTCCATCATTGCCACGTACCAAATGTCTAAAGTAGAATTCGAACCCAGGTATTTCTGACTTCATCTAGTGTCTCATAAATACACTAAGATAAATGGAGATTTTTACAAAACTGTCTCTGTGCAGTCAGTGCTGAGCAGATGCTGAATAAATGCTTATTGAATTGAATGAAACCCCAACATTTTACAGATGAGGAACCTGAAACCCAAATAGGGTGATTTGTTCAAGCTTATACTATTTTTAAGCATTAAGCAACCAGAGAATTCAAAAGCATTTGTTAAGCACCTACTATGTGTCAGGCATTGGGCCAAGTGCTGAGGAAGCAATATGAGTAATCCTGTCCTCTTGGAAGTCCGGTTTCATCAAGGGTCTACCTGGAGCCAGGTACCTGAGACCCAAACACAGAAATGGGACAGACTCTACCTTTCGGGAACTTGCCATTCCGTTTACTTTGTCTGAGTATTTCCCCGATGTATTTACAAGTTCCTTCCCCAGTTAGAATGCAAGCTCTCAAGGACTGGAACTTTTAACCTACCTTTGTATCCTTAGCACTTAGCACAGTGCCCCAAGCCCATCGTAATCAATTAGTGAAAGCTTGTTGAATTGGTTGATTAATAAAATAAATGAGGCAAGGGGTCAATTACACTGCAGAGACTGTCTTTTTTTAAAAAAATATGTTAAATTTTCAAATATTAATTTTTAAGATTTTTCTAAATGTGATTATTTAAACTCCCCCCTCCCAATCCGTAAAGACTCAGAATTGATTATACATAAAACTATAAACTATAGATTATTTATAATTTGGTTTTTTAAAAAGTGGTTCCCGGGACTCTTTCTCTCTCATCTCTGCTTTCTGCTGGCTATTTTTTCCGGGTTGTTATGATTCATGTCCATAGGGAGCTGTTGCCTTGGCTTCTCCATCTATTGTTGCTGTGAGGCTGCTTTCTTCAGCGGCCAAGAGACCTGAAGCAGGTTCCAGTGTTACGGGTGGGAGGGGGGACGGGAGATGGGGGAGGGTTCAGTGGAGCAAAGAAGAAATAAAGAGCTTGGAAAGAGCTGCCCAAGTCAAGGCTGCTTCTGTAGGGAGGTGTGTCTTTCTCTCTGTGCAAGGATATTAACTATTTATTTACTATGGGGGAAAAAAAATCTGGACTGATTTCCTCTGGGTGAAGCCAGGAGACAGGGGGTGCAGAAAGAGGCCTTGTTAGTTTAGTTATTGCCTTTTTAGTTAGCATTTACAAGAGCTGTCTGTTGGGGAAAGGGCTGGGTAACATGGCCAGGGGATCGTGATGTCCCCATGTGGAAGCCAAGAGAGGCAGGGAGCAAGGGGAGGGCAGGTGAGTGGGGCAAGGACCCATGGGGCTGGAGTCATCAAGTGTGGGCGGGGCTGGTGAAAGGTTTGCTGGCCTCCAGAAGGTACTTGGCTCTCTGCAAGTCTGAGCCAATCTTGGAGATGAAGAAGGCGGCCTCCAGCCAGCTTTGGTGGTGAGGAAAGAGCTCCTGCTGGGGGTTGGAGGCCCATCTTTGCCAGCGTCTTAGCTATGCGACCTGAAGGAAACACAGCAAAGAAGAGATAACGATTGCTGCCCTGCGTGCTTCATATACAAACTACAAAGCAAGGATTGTGATATTGTCTTTTCTTCCATCTATCTACAGTACCTAGTACAGTGCTAGGCACATAGCAGGTACTTAATAGATGTTTGTTGATTGACTAAAAAAAACCCACGAGAATGTAAATGTCAGCTAGTATAGTGAAAAGACTATATCAGGAAGACACAACTAGCTGTGTGACTCTGGGCAAGTCACTTGCCTCTTTGTGATTTAGTCAATTTGAGTCAGAGGACCTGAGTTTGAATCCCTGCTTGTGTGTCTGTGGGGGGGGGGGGGTTATAGTATGTAACTAGTTGTTTGCATGTCTCCCCCATTAGAATTTATGCTTGCTGAGGTCAGACCATTTTTGACCTTTTTTTCATCCCAAGACCTATCTATCTATCCATTCATCCATCCAGCTACATGTGTGCACGTATACACATGTGTATACATGCATATGTGCATATATGCACATACACATGTGCACACATAGGCATATGCGTATATCCATATTTACACACATACCTATGTACACACATATATCTTACTATGTGTCTCCATCTATTCTTCCACCAATCCAGCTAGGTGCTGGGGATAGAAATACAAAGAATGAAATAATTCCTCTTTGGGAAGAGCTCCAATTCTTCCTGGGGAAACAGCATGTGCCCATATAAGTGAGTACCAAATTTATGCAAAGTGAATAAGAGATGTAAAGGGAGGTTGGAGACCCTAGGCCCTAGTTATTGTAGCTAACAAGATGTTTCAAGCCTTGATGCCTTCATGAAAGGAGATGTCTCTTTGAGGTGAAGAATCAATTAATCAAAGGTGTAAAAGAAGTATGAGCAATGTCTAAGTTCCTCAGTTGAATCAGTTACTTTATCAAAGGTGTAAACTACATTGCTAGGCATTAGGTGAGGCTGATGGGTGTTAGAAAACCATTCCAAACTCCCCGGTCCCCTGAAGGGAGCAGTAGCCAGCCTAGGAGAGTGGGAATTGGGAAGTAGCATCTAAAAGGCTGGCCTGGTACAGAGATTACTAGGGGGTGGAAAGAGGAGAGGTGCTAGCAGCTAAGAGGGATTAGGAAAGGCCTCCTGAAGGAGGGGCCTTGAGCTGAAATTTGGAGGTCAAGTATTCTAAGAGCAGAGGTGAGGCGGGAATGTGTTTTGGGCATGGGGTATGTGAAGACAAGGAGTTAACTGTGTAATGTGTGTATGATGGGAGGAAGGAAGGAAAAAAGGAAGGAAGGAAAGGAGGGGAGGGAGGAAGGAAGGAAGGAAAGAAGGGAGAGAAGAAAGAAAGGAAGAAAGAAAGGAAGGAAAGGAAAGGAGGGAGGGAAGAAGGGAGAAAGGAAGGAAGGGAGAGAGGGAGGAAAGGAAGGAAAATAAGCAATAAGGCCTTTACAAATGTTATCTCATTTGATTTTCTCAACAATCCCTTGGAGCTAGTGCTGTTCTCCCCATTTTACTCTTAGCTGAGGGAACTGGGGCAGACAGAGGTTAAGTGACTTGCCCAGGGTCATCTAGCCAGTAAGTGTCTGAGGCTGGATTTGAACTCAGATCTTCCTGACTTGAGGACCACCAATCTATCCACCGTACCACTTAGCTGCTAATGTGCTCTTTACCTAGCAGGAAAGTGGCATGTTTATACCTGTATTTCAGGAATATCACTTTGGCAGCTATGTTGAGGATAGATTAGAGGGGAGAGTCTGGAGGCAGGAAAACCCATTGTGGCAATAGTCCAGGAGAGAAGAGCTGACAGCCTGAACTAGGGTGGTGCTGTGTGAGTGGAAGGAAGAGAATGGAAGCAAGAAAATTGGTCTTATGTGGATCGTTGTCCATCCATTCCTTCTCCCTCTGTGTGACTCGATCTGTATCCTCTCACACACTTTCCAGAGGAAGTCCGCCCAACATTCTAGGGGCCTTCCTCTTTACCCTTTGACATTACTCAAATGCTAGTAGACCACATGGCCATTGGTTATCCTTTGCTCTAGCCACAGGTAAATGAGTCATTTGCTATCCTGCCCATATATTTCATTGATGGCATCCTCTACTTAGATTGTCTCATGCAGTTCTTGGTAACACGTTTGAGCTCGTTCCTGCCCACCATATACCTCTCCATTGTCCTCTGGGTAACCCTCAACTTCAAGCCTTTGAAGACTGTAGACTCCCATGACTCAAAGCCATATACCATTACTGAAAGAATATTGTCAAAAAGAAAGATGTTTCAGAGAGAAGCTTTGGGCCATTAAAAGAGCTATGCAATTTTTCAAAGTCAATCCAGCCGATTCTCTTTCTGTTCCATTCTGGGCCTGGCATGTGGTCCATATACAATGTCTGTTGCAGATTTGTGTACTGATGGATGAGCTTTAAGGGTGATTGGTGGGTATATCAATAGGAACAATTGGCATATCAATCTGAATGAAAGGAATTGTTCATCCATTTGGTTTTTCATGTGTGGATAGTCAGTTAATAGCAAATCAGTCAGCGAGCATTTATTAAGAGACTACTATGTGCCAGGCACTATGACAAACACTGAGAATACAAATATAAGCAGAAAGGAAGACAATTCCTGATCTCAAGGAGCTTATGTTTTAATGGGGGAAGACAAAGCATAAAAGGAAGCTGAAATGGGGGTGGGGTGGGGAGGAGAAGGCAGTATGGGGACATGGTAGAGGAAATCCCAACTACAGCAAGAGGAACAATGAATCATGGCTGGCCTGACCATCCTCATTCAGTGGAAATTCTGGGAAGGGCCATCCAATCAAATGGGCAGAGGATGCATCCAGTGTGGATATTCCAAGGCTTGGGGGAGATGAGAAATTGGGGCATGGATCTCATTCAAGAGGCTCTGTGATATTCTGTGGTTCACTAGAATCAGTCAGGCCCCAAGCATTTATTAAGTGCCTACATTGTGCCAGGTATATTAAGCACTGGGGATACAGAGAAAGGCAAAACCTTTTGTAACAAGATGGTACAGTGGATGGATTGTTGGAATTGGAACCAGGATAATTCTGAGTACCAATCCAATCCCATGATATTTTCTAGCTCTGTGACCCACGGCAAATTACTTATCCTCTATCAGCCTCATTTTTCTCATCTGTAAAATGGGGCTAATGATAGACCCTACATCATAGGTTTATTGTGCTTATCAAAGGAGATAATATATGTAAAGTATTCTGCAAACCCTAAAGTGCTCTACAAATGCTAATTATTATCATTATCAATAAAAACAATCCTTGCCTCTCAGAAAGCTCACATTCTAGTGGGAAAACAGCTTAAATGGATTGCCATCAGGCATGTTGTGAAACTCAGATGAGATAATATTTGTTAAGCATTTTTACAAACTTTAAAGGGTGAAATAAATGACAGTTATTTATTATATTATTATTGCCATCATTGTTGTTATTGTGATTGTTATTACCATTATCCTCCAATCATTAGACCTTCATTCTGATTATGACTTCATTTCCTGAGCCTTCTACTCTGGTCCAGCTAAATCCTATATTAGTGGGAAAAGAAAAGAAAAGGAAGAAAGAAAGAAAGACAAAAGAAAGAAAGAAAGATGAAAGAAGAAAAATAAGGGAAGAAAAGAAGAATGAAAGGAAGGAAGGAAGAAAAAGAAAAGAAAGTAATGAAGAAAGAAAGGAGAGGAAAGAAGGAAAGAGGAAGAAAGGAAACAAGGAAATAAAGGAAAAAAGAAGGAAGAAAGGAAGAATGAATGGAGGGAGGGAATGAGGAAAACAAGAAGGAAGGAAAATAGGAAAGAAGAAATAAAAATCAATCAATCAATCAATAAATATAGATACATACAGATACACACTTTTAAGTTTAATCTGCATTATTAACACGTTCTTAAGCCTAGAGAGTCAACCAAACAATAAATCAAGCTTTGATTCAAGGTGATTACTGATTTCTGAGGTATCATTGCTCACAATGAAAATTTAACAAATTGTTCTCATAGTCAGTCAGAGCTGGTCCTAGCACACATACCTGATCACCATCCACAAATAGTAGTATGCTGAGGACCTTGAGCATTATTTCTTTTTTCATTTGGGCTCGTCACTGTCTGTCTTTGATCACCGTCGCAAGCTCTTTTGTTGAAAGGCAGTGTGGAACACTGGACACTGTAATGGGTTTGGAGTCAAAGGGCCTGCTCATTATTGCTTGGGTAGCCTTTCCTCATCTGTAAAATGAGCTGGAGAAGAAAATGGCAAATCACTCCAGTATCTTTCCAGAGCTTACCCCAAATTAGCTCACAAAGAATCAGACAAGACTGAAAAACGACTGAACCACAAAAGCCTTGGTAGACTTCTTTTCCTTCTCTAGGTCTCAGTTTACTCATCTGTGAGATGAAGCAGTTGGACCAAGTGACCCCTAAAGTCTCTTCAAATTCCAAATCTCTGATTGTGTGAGCATACATCTCACTCTTCCATTCCTCTCCTGATGTTAAAAACCATGAGGCTGTCAAACAAAGTTGGCTCTGTTTTTCTGTCTTTCCAAGGAATCCTGTATGGTTTTGACAGAAGCTTAGAAAACACCTTGTTGGAGGAGAGACTTTAAGAAGCATTTCATTTAACTGAATCAAATCCTTTTTTCTTCTTTAATAGTTGATGAACAATAAGTCCTTGTATTCTATTCATATCTTTGGTTCATTCTTGGGACCATGAAAATGTGGTCATAGTAATATTCTCTCAGTCACCTTCTTTCAATAACAATAAATCCAGATTTTTTCCTCTCAAGACTTTGTTATCTTGTCTTTTTTTCCCCCACATACCTGGAAAACTGATCTCTGGACATCCTCAATATTGCATCATGTCCAGTGTTTAAGTATACTTGGTCGTATTCAGTTTCTCTTTGCATCTTTATTTGTTAAACATTTTAAAAATTCAAATTTAATAAATTTTAATAAATTTTAAAATTAAATAAATTTAAATAAATTTTAAAATTTAAATTCAATAAACTTTATAAAATTAACATTAATAAATATTAAAATGAAAATTAAATGAATTTTAATAAAATTCAAAATGGATAAATTCTAATAAAAACCCAAAATAAGTTAATATTTAATACATTTTAATAATATTTAAATTTAATACATTTTAAATAAATTGATTTCTCTTGGTTTTTGTTTTCATTATCTAGCTTCTTCCTTGTAGAATCTTTATTTTCTTTTGTGCTTTTGTAGTGTCTTCTATTTTCTAATGTAGCTCATTGATAACTCTTTTGTTAGAGTCCAAATGTGGTATCTCCACTGGCATTATTGGAGAAAATTATTTCTGATACAAATAATTGTATTAGAAATCTTGACAGATCTTTTCTATTTTTCATCTGTATGTTATTCTTATGTTATCCTTTAATGTCAGTTGGATAATTTTTCATAGGTCTCTTGACAAGCTCCTATAAATTTGTTTTCCACTCTTTTTTTTTCTTCCCTTGCCGTTTTGTGAGGCATCTGAATAGAAAAGTGGGTAGAGTGATGGGCCTAGAGAGTGAGGGAGTCCAGTCTCAAACCCAGCCTCACATGCTTAATAGCTGTATGACTTTAGGCAAGTCACTTAACCTCTTTCTGCCTCATTTTTCCTAAACTGTAAAATAGAGATAACAGTAACATCTACCTTGCCATGGTTGTTGGGAGAATTAAAGTAGATAATTCTTGTACAGTGCCTGGTACATAGTAGGTGTTTAATAAATGCTTAAGAAAATAAAGAGAAGGGAAAAAGAAGGGAATAAGCATTTATATAGTGCCTACTGAATGCCAGGTACTGTGCTAAGCTCTTTACATGTATCTCATTTGATCTTATTAACAACCTTCATTGTGACAATATATTTTACCATCTTCCTCCATAAAACTTTTAAAAATAAACTTAAAGTACATATTATTAATGCCTTTTGTCACAGTAATTCCTACCCTATACCCCTTCAGTTTGAACAGTTAAACAAAGATATCTGATAGAGACAGTTGATGGGCAGTGTTCACAATATTCTATCCTATAAGTCCCTTATGTTTTATTTTCTCATCTGTGGGATGTCCTTTGTTTTTCCCATTTCTTAAGAGTTCAACTTCCTTTTAATAATCTCTTTAAAATTTTCATTGTTGTGTTTGTGGTGGATGGTCTTGTCTTGGTTCTGCTTCTTTCAGTTTGCAGTAGTTCATATAAATTTTCCCATGTTTCTTGTTTATTTTTTGTGGGCTGGGCTTGACCCAACCCTACTATCTTGTTGCTTCCTCAAAACAGTGGAAGAACAATCAGAACAGAGAAATGTTCATCCAAGATAAAGAATTAATTCAGTAAATCAGTACTTCAGTAAAGTATATCAGTAATTCAGTAAATCATACCTTCCAGAGGTAGTTCTTGCTGCTGGTATGTGCTTACAAACTAGAGGGAAGTGCTCTACCCTCTCATGTCCTGGCTGTTTTCTTTTTCTTTTTTCTTTTGGTTTTTCTTTTTGGTGAGGCAATTGGGGTTAGGTGACTTGCCCAGGGTCACACAACTCGTAAGCCTCGTCCTGGCTGTTTTCTGCCCCAGGGATCAGGAAACTACAGCAATGGACTGAGCCTTAGTGACTTGAACCAATTAATTCTAGGGGAAGCTTCAATGCTTTTAAAAGAAAAACTAGTCTAACTTTGGGGGAGGGGCATGGTTAGGGCTCAGGATATTGCTCCCAGCAAATCATATGATTTTACAGATGAATTTATGCCTTAAACCAGTGTCTTCTTTGGCTTTCATATCCTTTTGCTTAGTAAGAGGTCCAATTGTTAACTAGTTAAGGCAGTTTCTGAGATCTTTTGGTCTCCTTATTATGGTGATTGATTTATATCAATGAACTTATGTAGGCAATGCTTATTGTCTGTGTTGATGTTTGTTTCTGCATTGGTTATCCATTTTTCAATATCATTAGCTTGTTTAAATAAATCAAATTGAAGTTACTTGGGCAATTTCATACCATTTTTTATTCTCCTTTCTATTCTTCCTGCCAGTTTGGTATGGATATTGATCTTTGCTTTAACAAGTCACTGATCTGATTGTAGACAGAGGCTGATAAAGAAATTGCTTCCACCTTAGTGGAATCAACCAAGTTCTTGCCTATCTGTTAAGGAAACATAATAGAAATAAATATAACATTTTTTTTAGATAAGAAGTCAACTTGAGTTCTGTAAACTGAGGGAGGAATAGCTAGACAGTAGTTCATCTAAAAAAACTGGAATTTTTTAGTGGAATGAAGACAATGAGAATAAATGATGTGATATGCTAGCTGAGAATGCTAATATAATTTGAAGTTGCATTAAGAAAGGTCCACATCCGGGGGCAGCTAGGTGGTGCAATGGATAGAGCACCGGCCTTGGATTCAGGAAGACCTGAGTTCAAATCCAACCTCAGACACATAACACTTACTATCTTTGGGACCCTGGGCAACTCACTTAACCCCATTGCCTAGCCAAAAAAAAAAAAAGGTCTAGATCCAGCAATACCACTACTAGGTCTGTATCCCAAAAAGATCATAAAAAAATGGAAAAAGACCCACATGTGCAAAAATATTTTTTTCTAGTGGAAAAGAATGGAAATTGAGGGGATGCCCATCAATTGGGGAATGGCTGAACAAGTTGTGGTACATGAATGTTCTATACTGTTGTTCTATAAGAAGTGATGAGCAGGCAGATTTCAGAAAAACCTGGAAAGATATACATGAAGTGATGGTGAGTGAAGAGAGCAGAACCAAGAGAACATTGTACAGAGTAACAGCAACATTGTGTGATGATCAATTACAATAGACTTAGCTCTTCCCAACAATACAATGATTTAAGACAATTCCAAAAGACTCATGATGGAAAATGCTATGCACGTCCAAAGAAAGAACTGTCGAGTCTGAATGCAGATTGAAGCATACTATTTTTTCACTTTTTTTTGTTTTCTTTCTCATGGTTTTCCCCTTTTGTTCCTATAATGATTTCACAACATGACCAATGTGAAAATATGTTTAATATGGTTGTACATATATAGTCTATATCAGATTGTTTTGCCATTTTGGGGAGGAGGTAGAGGAGGAAGGAAAAGAGAAAAAATTGGAACTCAAAATCTTATAAAAGTGAATGTTGAAAACTATCTTTACATGTAATTGGAAAAAAATAAAATATTATTAAGTGGGGCAAAAAGGAAGGTCTAGTGTCAAGGTCTAAGGAGAGGGTTGTCCCAGTGTTTTTCATTTTAGTTGTGTAATGCTATGCTCACTTCTAGACACCACATTTTAGACGGGACATAAATGTTAAGTCAATAAGTATTTATTAGTACATGCGCTAGGGACTGTGCTAAGCACAGAGGATTCAAAAAAAGCAAAAAAAAACAGTTCCTGATATCAAGTACCTCACAGTCTAAGGGAAGACAGCATGCAAGCCACAATATACAAACAAAATATGTTCAGGATAAAGTGGAGATAATACTGGAGGAAAGGCACTGAGATTAAGGATGATTAGAAAAGTGTTCCTGTAGAAGGTAGGACTTTTGCTGAATTTTGAAGTAGGCCAGGAAACCAAGGTGAGATGAGAGTTGCAGGAATGGGGGACAACCAGTAATAATGCCCAGAGTTGGACTATGGAGTGTTTTGTTTGAGGAATAGCAAGGAGGACATTGTCACTAGATTGAAGAGTACATGGCTGGGGATAGGGGGAGTAAGGTATGAGAAGACTAGAAAGTAGGAAGGGGCAAAGTTATGAAGGGTTCTAAAAACCAAATAGAGGATTTTATATGTAATAGGTAGCCACCAGATTTTATTGAATGGGGGCGGGTAGGGGAAGTTTGATACATTTTAGAAGGGTCAACTTGATGGTTAAGCGAAAGATGGACTGGCGTGAGGAGAAAAAAGAGACCAAATAACTGGCTATTGCAATAGTCTAGGCATGAGGTAATGAGTACCAGGGTGGTAGCAGTATCAGAGGAGAGAAGGGGACAGAGATATTGAGAAAGTAGAGATGATAGGACTTGACAACTAATTGGATATGGGGGGGTGAGAGATAGTGAGATGTCAAAGATAACATAGGTTGTAATCCTGGATGACTTGGATGATGGTGGTACCTTGGACAGTAAAAGAGAGGAGGTTTTGGAGACAGTATACATGGTGGGGCAACAAAGATGATAAAGAACCATGTGTCCATGTCAGGTGTGAATATGCTTAGCTTGGAGAAGACTTTGGGTGAAGAGGCATGATAATTGTCTTCAAGAACTTGAAGGACTATCATATTGGTTTTAAAGTTGGATTCAATGTGAATTAAACTAGTTTTTCATCACTAAAGAGAGTAAAATTGGGAGTAATAAATAGATGGAAATTACAAGGAAGCAAATTTAGATTTGATTGAACTTTTCATCAATCGGAGCTGTCCAAAAATAGAATGGGCTGCCTTACTGGAGGCCTTCAAGCAACAAGACTGGATAAGAACTGACCAGACATATTGTAGAGAGAATTTGCATTCTATGCTTTGACCTAGATGGTCACTGTGGTTGGTCCCTTTCAACTCAGAACCTAGGATTCCATAGTTAACTCTCTTCTCACCCCATCCTTTTTAAATTTTTTTTTTATTTTTAGGCAATTGGGATTAAGTGACTTGCCCAGGGTCACGTGACTACTA